TCCTTTCTTCTCTTCCTCCCTTTGCACTTTTCCCCCTCCCTCCTTTCTTTCCTCCCTCCCTTCCCACTTTCCCCCTCCTTCTTTTCCTCCTTTCTTTCCTTCCTCCTTTCTTTCCTTCCTCTCTTCCTCCTTTCTTCCTCTCTTCCTCCTTTTTTCCCTTCCTCCTTTCTTCTCTTCCCCCATCCCACTTTTCCCCCTCCCTCCTTTCTTTACTTCCTCCTTTCTTCCCTCCCTCTCTTCCTCCTTTCTTCTTTCCTTCCTCCTTTCTTCCCGTCCTCTCTTCCTCCTTTCTTCCTCTCTTCCTCCTTTCTTCCCTTCTTCCTTTCTTCTCTTCCTCCCTTTGCACTTTTCCCCCTCCCTCCTTTCTTCCCTTCCTTCCTTCCCGCTTTCCCCCCTCTCTCCCTTCCTCCTTTCTTTCCTTCCTCCTTTCTTCCCTCCCTCTCGTCCTTTTTTCTTCCCTCCCTCCCTTCCTCCTTTCTTCTCTTCTTCCCTTCCTCCTTTCTTCCCTCCCTTTCTCCCTTCCCACTTTCTCCCCTCCCTTCTTCCCTACTTTCTTCCCTTCCTCCTTTCTTCCTCCCTCCCTCCCTTCCACTGCTTGCTCTCTGAGCCTGATTCTCAGAAGGCCACCCCAGGTGAAGCTCTCTGCAAAGAGCCTTATTGGGGGGCTGCCTCCTTGGGGTGTTCCCGTTGGCACCAGGTCTTCCCTCCTTCTGATTGGGTGCAGCCAGGCTCTTGAGCTAATGATTATGGGATCTAATGAGACTTTGACCGGATTTATTTGGCGTCTCAGCCCAGTATCTGAATTCCTTCTTGAAAGACGCCTGTCAGTTGCTTCCTTTGGGAACGCCGGTCTTCTCCCACCACCAGGAAACCTTGCGAGGTAGGCAGGTGGGGGCTCAGGAGGAGCAGAGCAAAGCAGCAGGGGTCTCCTCTTCCAGTCCCACTGGAGCCACCTCTTGGGCTAAGAGGGAGGGTCTGGCCCGAGTCTTCCAAAGAACCCCGTGGTGGGACTAGAACTGGGTCCCCCTGTCCCCCACCAGCCCCTTCCCCTCTGCCCAGGGTCTCTCTCCCACCCTCCCTCTCTCTCTCCCTCCCTCACATTCTTTCTTTCCCTTTCTCTCTCAATCCCTTTCTTTCTCCCTCTCTCTCTCCGTCTCGCTCTCAATCCCTTTCTCTGTCTGTCTCACTCCCCTTTTTCCCTCTCACCCCATCTCCCTCCCTCCTTCTCTCTCTCTTATTCCCTCTCTCTGTCTCTCCTCTTCCTTTTAATCCTCCTCTCTCTCTGTCCCTCCTGCTCTTTCTTTCCCTCTCTCTCCCTCTCTCCCCACCCTCTACCCTCCTCTCTCTTTCAATCCCTCTCTCTCTCAATCCCTTTCTCTGTCTGTCTCACTCCCCCTTTCCCCTCTCTCCCCACCTCCTTCCCTCCTCTCTCTCTCTCAATCCCTCTCTCTTTCTCTCCTCTCCCTCTCTTAATCCATCTCTCTCTCTCCATCCCTCCCGCTCTTTCTTTCCCTTTCCCTCCCTCCCTCTCGTCCTCTGATAGTTGTGGGAATTTCTGCAGGGGTTTTCCATGATTTTGCAAGCCGAGTTCCTCTTTTAACAGCAGATTTAGGATATTCTTCCAAGTACAGGATACTCCCCGTTTAACTATCATCTACAGTTGGGACCAGCCACTCAGTCAGTAAGCAAAGTAGTCGCTAAATGAAACCATGAATTGTGCTTAAGATCTTACTTCCACTTTCCTGGCTTTGTCGGCCTGCGAAGGTCATAAATTGGCTCCTTTTTAATCACGGTTGTAACTGTGAACGGCTGTTGTCCAAGGCAGTTGCTAAATGAGGACTACCTGTGTGAGCTCTAACCCTGAATGCCCTCCAGGAACTGGCCATGTTTGCCTAACATTCTAAGCTGGTTTATCCACAAAGAGAGAGGCTCTCGCAAATCACGGGTTCATAAATTAACCTTTTTTGGGGGGGGTTAAATGTTACAGATTGCATTATATGCTAGACAAATAGACTGGATAGCCCCCCCCTGAAGCTAAGCCCCCAAACCCTAATCTAATGAAGGTTAGCATCAACCCAGCTTAGCATTTTGCTGGTCTGATTTATTTTACTGGGTGTTATAAGTGAGTGGAGATCATGGATTAAACTGGGATTCAGACGGTTTGTCACATAATTTAACCTATAATTTATTGTAAAATAATTTGCTGGGTAATGGAAAAAATTGGGGTACAGGAGGTCCTCGACTTACGACGGCAACTGAGCCCAACATTTCGAATGCCAAGCGAGACTTGCTCAGTCAGTTTTGCCCCATTTTATGACCTTCCTTGCCACAGTTGTTAAGTGAGTCACTATGGTTAGTGGTTGTCGAGAGAATCCGGCTTCCCCAGATTGTCAGAAGGTCGCAAAATGGGATCACGTGACCTCCCCCCCAAGACACTGTAACCGTCATAAATGCGAATCATTTGTCAAGCTTCCGAATTTTGATCACGGGGAGTCTGAAACGGTCATAAGTCTGAAAAACTGTCGTAAGTCTCTGTTTTCAGACCCGTTTGAATAGCCACTAAATGAATTGTGTTGTTGTAAGTCAAGGAACATCGGTACAATTATAATTCTATTATTCTAAAGTTCTTTCGTTCCAGTGCTGCCTTCTCCTCTGGTTGGAGCCATCAAATTAGTAACTTTGATGACGCAGCCTCAATGCTGAATGTAGGGGCTCATTTTGGGGCTGGGGGTGGCAAGCGGTGGTCTTCCAAGGTGAGCTTCAGCGTCCCAGGCAGTGAAAGACGTGCAGAAAAGAAATTCGGTGTAGGAGAGGAGGAATGTAGGAGAGAAGGAAGGGGGGAAGGAAGGAGGAAAGGAAGGGGGAAAGGAAGGAGAGAAGGAGAAAAGAAAGGAGGGAGGGAAGGAAGGAGGGATAACAATTAAACAATTGTAGTCAAATGGAGGTATAATGATGGTAATATGTATAAATATCTGAGTTAAAATACTTCAGTTAATATGAATTATGCTTGATGACTGTGGAAGAGATGCACGAAACCAACTGATACACTTTCTACAGTATGTAAGGAAGGAAGATTTTATGTGTTGTGTTTGTTTTGAGTATGTATGTATATGTATATGTATATATGTATGTATATATATATATATATATATATATATATATA